TAAAGTGCAAAAGGAAACATTGGAATCAATATGTTTCTCTTATTTCACTATCTGTCAACATACGTTTTATTCACAGTCAATGAACTTTCCCAAAACGTCGGTCTTCCTGGCAGCCCGTTCCAGGTTCAAACGAAAGGAGCAAAATATCTGAAAATCGAAATTAACTTTGTTAACTTTGTTGCTGGACCTGTTTTTAAAAGGACGGATACAAATAGAAATTGTTTCCCCTAGAGGGAGCTTTTGAAACTGTTGCAGGAGCGGAGGTGGGGAATTCTCCAGCTGCAGAGATTAAAGATCGTGAGAATTAGACATTGACCTTGGACAAGAATGTGGACAGAAGAAGCCTTAGTGATTGCTTTTTGCAAAACAAGTGCCTTATTGGAACAGCTTCATGAGAAGATGGATGCGATGATTACTATAACTGACAGTTTTGGACAAAGAAGGATTGATTTGGGACAAAAAGTGAATACTTATACAGAAACTACTCAGGAACCGACCCAGGAATCTGCTTTGACATGGCAAGCTGTGGAGAAGACAAAGGAGGAGGTTGTTGTTGAAACCTCAAGTAATACAAGGGGAGAGAGCCTCGGCCTTGTATGAACATAAGCTGTTGTCTTTGAAGACCGAATCTGGAGAAAGCCAGATTTGGAGAGATGGAGCCCCGCTTGGATTGGAGAAGGAAAGTTGGAAAGATCCCCTTATGCAGGGATGTTCTGGCTTTTGGGATTTGGTTTTGGGCCAGGGGGAGATTGGAGTGGTGGGGGCTTTTAACTTGGGAGGGATTTTGAAACATGCTTTGAAATATCCTTTGGATTTTAGTGCTGACTATGGAGAATGGGCTGACCTGTCGAGAAGGGATAAAGACATTGTTAGGTTGGAGTCTCCCCGAGATCTACTCCTCAGTGACAAAGGAAGGAAATTAAGAACAAGATCAGCAGAAGACAAAGTAAAGTGCAGGTGTAAATATGAAGAAGATCTGCAGAAGGGACATGGAAAAGAGTTAAGAGCCTCGGACAGAAGACCACCAGGTTGATGGACTAGATGGAATGGATAGAAAGGACTGACAGAACCCGAGACCAGGGAGAAGAGACGGTGGATGAAGATTGGAAGAAAATTTAAAAAATTTATTTAGAGAAATATTGTAAAATTAATGAGTGTTAGAAAAATGTTGGAATGAAACTATTTGGCTTTAGTAGAAATGCTATAAGGAGTTATGTACAAATAAGTTTTAAGTTTTAGGGCTTTTTATGGTAAGATAAGGTTAAAATAAATTAAGACAATTAAATGACAGAATATAGTGAAAGATGGAAAGGATTTGCTGAAATAATTAATAACTAGAATACAAAAAGGGAGGTGTGAGGAGGTCGATGAAACAAGTTAATGAAAGATAAAGATATGGGAATATTGGATTTGTTTTTAATTTTTTGCTTTTGTTTTTGGTTTTGATGTATTGTGTGTTTTGTTCTCTTTTTCTTTTTTATTGACTTGTATTGTTTAATCTCTTTCTCTCTTTTTTCTTTCTCACTTTTTTTCTGTAATTTTAAATTTTCAATAAATATCATTAAAAAAAAAAAAAAGGAAACATAGCCTGATTCAAATATGATGCCTGATATATTGGGAGAAGAGATTGATGCTGTAAATGGCCAAAAGCAAGCCTGCAGTTTCCAACTTCCTTTTTTGTGAGGACACTTGCTGATATTTCATGTGTTGTTTTTCACCTACTTGCTTGATACACTGTTTTATATTTTATAGCATTGTTTTATATCTTATAGCTTTATTTTATATCATATTTCACATATTTTAAGAAAAAAAGCATGATTTAAATTTAATAACTTACCTGGAAACCGATATATGGCATGATCACATATTGAAAAGCACTCTCTCCCTGTCTCCTTGAAAAGTCTAGCGATAAGGAAGAAATAGTCAATAGTACAAACTGGGTGATAAAAGATAATAAGCACTGGTCCTTTAGGAAGATGTTCCATGCCAAAAACTTCATAACCTGGAAATAATATAAAATGCAACAAATAAATGTTATTTTGTTGAAAAATAAATGGAATATTGCAATCTTTTATTGGAAGAAAAACACTGGTTCAGAAAACTGTAATTTACGATCAGTTAAAAAGCTCTCCTATATGTTGCAGCATTCTGGATACTAGGTTGTCATCCACATGGACTGGGACTTTCTCTGTTGTGCTCACATAATAAGATGACATTTCTCCTCTGTTGCCTAGAGTGTCGACCTTTTTTAAGGGGGGACCCCAAAGTTGGCATGCGGCGGATCCTGTCCAGAGATGTTTCCTCTGCTGCCACTTGCATTCCCCATTGTTCTTCACTGGGACGTCACGTTGGGCAGTGCTGGGAGCGTGTGACGACAGCGGAAAAGCCAGCAAAGGAACCCACAGCTCGGCACATGCAACAGGATGCATC